ATTTCCTGAGGTCAAACATTTCTTTCAGTTCTATTTTAAGCCAATGAAAAGAAACTAGAGGAAACAAAAGCTGTTTAGATACTTTCCAAACTGTGGCTGGTGGCTCATCGGTGTGCCTGCTTGCAAAGCTGGGCTCGGTGGGAGCCAGCAACCGTGCCGCTGAAATACCTGGCTCCTAATTCTGGTACTATTGTCAACGTGACCAAAAGATATTCCATTTCCCCAGCCTACCCGCATTTAGGAATGAATTGGCTTGGCGTGCCTCGAGCTGGAGGATCCACGGAGTAATTAGTAAGCGAGGAGTCGATCATCTTTGTTTTGTCACTAGACCTTAGTGCAGTGACTGAGGTCTGATTCATACTGACGCCGAGTTCCTTTTATATGACAGAGCAAACGCAATCAAAAACCATGTCCATCAGTCTTTTCTGTTCTTGGACTAAGTAATTGATTTTTAGCTTGGTTTCCCATGGTAACAAGGCTTTCTGATCACCAGCTGCACGTGTTGGCCCTAATAGCTTTTGAATCCACTGCTTCATTTCAGCCAAATGTGATGGCAAGATTGAGGTCTGAAGGATAATTAAGTTCCTACAAGTTTTCTGAAAACAGGCTGTGTGTGGCAGACCCTATTAGTGCTACATCGGTACCTTCACTGCAGATGGAAATTCAATGACTTCATATTGGACACCAGAGACTCCACCAAGGGAAAAGCTCTTGTAATTACCCTAACTAGGGGCAAGCTTCACCCGGGGCTTGCAATCACCCGTGGGATGCAAATCCACAGGAGACCAGGCTTCCTTCGCTCCAAGTGTTTGTAGAACAACTTGCGATTTTAAGGGAGCATAACGGGTGTTAAATAACAAATCAGTATAAAATTAGGACTGTGTATGAGGGTCCCTCACAGAAATCCCTGGTAAAAAATATGAGAATTTGCAAAAGCTGGTGGCTGTTGAGCATCAGGGGAGAATGAATACTGCCAGCAAAATAGAATGTAAATCAGGAAAATAGCTACGTGCAAATATTGTTCCTTTCTCTGGTCAGCCAGACTCAAACTTTTACTCAAAAATAATTGCATTTGACTTCAGGGAGTGTTTTTACTGAGTCAAGACTGCAAGACTTCCCTCCAAACACAGGTCAAGAAGGAAGGTGGCAGGTCTCAGGCTAGCTGTGCTATATACCTATATCCAGGGTATATCCACACACTGCCTGCACCTGCTGAGCGGTCAGCCCTGAGCACACTATCCCCCGCACTGTGCAGGTATTGGATTGGGCTGGAGCATCCCCATATCTGCAGGCTGAGCTGCCAGTGCAGCCCGCGGTCTAGGGCCCATCAGTCAGCCCTGGCACTGGAGCTGATGGGGGGCATCTCTCCTTGTGCATTAACTACCCCTTACACAACACAGACGGTGCTGCAAGCTTCTGCTGTGCCCTTGTGAGGCACTGTGGGGTCACGCTGCCTCACAACTGAGCTGTTGACTGCCCTGAGTGGCTTGCGCCCGCGTTAGAAAGGAGACCCTGTCCCATCCTCAGGGAGATGAGGACGGAGGAGGAGCGTGGTGAGGCTTATCGGTGTGGGACAGAGGTTGCTTCAGCAGAAATGTGCAGCGCCCTTCAGCTGTCCCACCACAGGGGATGGGGCAACGGCTGCTGCTTGGGAGGATGGGAGGGACTGCACTGTTGTACTGGGGCAGTGGAAAAAAAGGGTGTTTGTGGGGGAAATGTTTGGTTGAGTTAGGAAACCAGTATGCCAGACTGGTGCCTAATTCCGAACTGTTAGGCTAAAGCTTCCCTGGGGTCAGGATCACAGTGCTCTTGTCAAGCGGACGCAGAGCCAGGCCAGCTGTGTGCAGCCTCTTCACCATTTAAAAGCAAAGCACTGCAGGGCACCCTGGCTGGACCAGAGCACCTCAGCCTTTACCAAAACACAAAGCCAGCCCCCACCTCAGACTCCTGCCTGGTCCCAGCTGGGGCAATGCCTTCTCTGATCTGGGATTTCATATATAAAATTCCCCATCTCTGATTTCCGACTCCCTTGTTTGCTGTCTTCACAGCTCATCCCATCTGTCCCCATTTTAAAATCTCCTTCCCTCCCTCTTTTCTCACTAGCTCTTCTTCTGGTGTCGCTTCTCCCACCCACAACACAGCCTCATTTGTACCTGGTCTGACCAGGCTTGCGTGCAAAAGGATTAAATCATCATTTGAACCAGATCCAAGGGACATCACTGGGCAATGGCACCTTAAAATATTAACTAAATCAGCCACTTCGTGCTTCGGAAGTCATTTTTCCTGCATTGCAGATGGGGGGTGAGCACTCGTACCGTTTACCATCACTCTTCCTCTCTGTGTGAGCTGGCAGGCAGAGGGCGTGCAATGTGCTGTTTGCTGATGAAGAATAAAAGCGTGAGGTACACCTTTTCTTCTCTGCGAGCTGGAAATCCAGGGGCTCTTTATGTTGTGCTTGGAACATTTGACTCAGCAGCTGAATTTTACCCATGGCCTCCAAACCTCTCTTCCGCAGAGAGCACTGCCAGTAGTTGGATGGGTGCAAGCATCAGTTTTTGGGGAGGAACTGATGCAGAGGTTTTGCATTCCCAGGAAGGATGCAGCATGTCCCAGTAAGGGCTTCTCCCCAGGCTCCCATACAGCGATGGCCGCAGAGCCTGTCTCTTTGTGGAACCACCAGCCCATGCCCATCAGATTTTGGCCTTCAGTCTCAAGGTTGGAGCAATGCAGAGTAACTGCCATCTGGCGAGGCCAAACATGTTCTCTGTCTCTGAGAAGTAGCTTAATCGTGCTTGGTAAAGGGAGGAAGGCGGCTTTTAGCTGGGGCTGACAGATTTGCTATGATCCCACCCAGTAAGCAAGCATCATCACAAACTCTGCCACAGACAAGAGGCTGGGACTCAGACACAGTACGTTTTATTATTAAAAAATGCATAAAAACTAAAGACATGCTTCCCAAATTAGAGTCTATATGTACATCTGCTCTTCCCAGGCAGCTGCGGGGAGCATAGCCTTCTGCCCTCACTGCAAACGTGTACCACACAGGTTTTTGTTATCCTTTGTTAGGTGTTACCTTCTCACCTGCCTTTACAGCATTCCAGCTAAATGAAGAGAAAACCCTGTACCGCCTGGGGTATAAGATGGTGCAGTTTGTATCTGTGACTGAGAAACTGTACTGAACTTCTGGAGACATCTGTAGGACATCGCTGTTCAGTAGGAAACTACAGAAAGGACCCATGCCCAAGCCCCAGGCTGAAATTCCCCTTCCCTTGGAAGTGTTCTCACTAAGGGCTGAAACTGGACCTGAATTTTGTAGTTAGCCCCAAACCTTACAATAAGCAAATACTGGGCATCGAAGGCTGGAATGTTCTGATACCAAGTCTGCAATCTCATTTGACTTCTTGGTCCCACCTTTGCCAACTCATCAAACGATGACATTTGTGTTATTTGTGTCTGAGGAAGAGCAATGTGGAATCCTCAGTCTTGTGATACTGCATTTTCAGCTGATTTTTCAGCATGCTGGAAATAAAAGAAATTAAGATCTAGCAAATATATAGGATAAGTAGAGTAAGATGTAACTGCACTTCCTTGCTGGGAACCACTGCACAAAACAAATGCTGATTTACAGTAAAATATTAAATTATTAAAAACCACACAAGCTCTTGCAGTTATAGTGAGTCAGACATGCTGATTGGAAAACAAAACAAAATCCGAAGAGCAAAACCATTAATTTTGCCCTGTCTGGAAGGCTGCAGTGATACTAGTCTATGTTCTGATGTGGCTTTCACAGCATGCCAGAAGATCTCCTAAATAGGAAGGCCAGTGGTTCTCAAGCTTTTTCACCATGAGGACTCTCTTCAGAAAGAGATCTCCCAGTTGATCCCTTCCCCCCAACACACACACCTTCCCAAAACCCATTTCACACCTTCACTACAGCAGCTACAGCACTTCGTTATTTGAAAAAGTCATAGGACTGTTAAAGAGAAAGATTGAACGAATCCTATTTTAAAGCAAATGCTGAATCCTGCTCCCGCTGAAACTGAAGCAAGTCTGCCATTCTGTATCTAAGCTGTCTCCTTCCTCTCCTGGAGGGCAGCACTTAGCATTAATTAGCAGTGTTTCCCCATACTGCTGTTAAGGCCTCTCTACACTGTTTCCTTTCCATCCCTTTGAAGTTGGATTCTGCCCTCACACATGCCAGCTGCTCTCCCTCCCTTCGCATTTTAACGCCAGCTGCAAGTCTGGTCAGGCCTGAATTGGCATCAGACAGAAGAAAAAGAAAGACATAAAAGAGGTACGTGGGGTGAAGAGGGATGCTGGATTTTCATTTTTTCTAATTTCATCGCTCACCAGAACATCTGAAACTCTTAAAAGAGCCCCAGACTGAGGAAGCAGCAAGTGTCACTGCATGAAATAAGCCAATGTTCAAATTCAGTGCTGGGTAGAAGCAGATCCGCAGATCAGTTTGAGAACCACTGAGGTAGGCAACAAGTCTAGGCAGTACTGCTGAGTGAACACAAGGGGAATTTTGCCCTCTTGTCCTGAATGACACTGTAAATACCCACTAGTGTTTTCAGAGGTACCAGTCCCGAAGTCATGCAGCCAGGGTCGAAGACAACATCTACACAAGAGCGAGCACTGACTGAACAGAAGGTATATTCAGCTCTGCTCCCGCAGTCAGTGAGAAGGAGCAGAGCATAGACTCCGACTGCCCGCCTTAGCT